CCCAGCAGGCCTCGAAAATGGCGACAGTTTCGCAGATCGCAGCCCCCCAGGGATGGCGAGGTCTAATTTGAATCTGCCCGTGGCCCTCACTGTGCTGGGCCCCCCAGCAGGCCTCGAAAATGGCGACAGTTTCACAGATCGCAGCTCCCCGCAGGCAAGACAGGAAGAGGCAGGGAGGGAGGGAGGCGGGAGAAGAAGGGACGCGACCACACTGCTCTATTCAAAACGAATACCCAACCAAGGAGGGTTGGGAAATATACACAAATAAAGAGATTCCCCATATTTTCCTATATTTTCTGGGTTTTTGTCTTCCCCCCAACTTCCCATATTTTCCCATATTTTCCTGGGAGTCGACGATTAATTGTGTCTGTGTTTTTTCCCCTCCTGAAGAACATCCTCCAAGAACATGAGACCCTGCGCCGGCCAAAACGAAGAGCATTCGAGGGTGCCCTGCCCCAGGCTGCACGAGAACGTCCAACATACACGAAGACATTCGGGTACCCTCCCCGAACCGACCTCGATCGAATACTTCGGCCCGACTGCAGCGTAGTTAGCTGGCCTTCCCGGCGCCTCCCGGCGACAACGTACATCGAGAGAAGAGCGCCCGGGGGCGGGGCCGAAAAAAGCTGCACGCGGCAGTTTACGGATCGCCCCACACCTCGCAATCGCTCGGACGCCCATTCCCCGTGCATTTGTCGTTACCATGCGTTTTTTGCTGCTCGATGATCCAGGATGCTCCTCGATGACCCTCGCCGAGAAAAATGCACACGTCCGAGCGATGCCAAGACACCCCTTTGAACAAATCCCCCACCCCCTCCTCCCCTGCTGTCCGACCCGAGTTCCACTCTCCTGTGTCCGCTCGGCAGCGAGGAGGGCGGATCAGAGAGGCCCTTATGCAGAGCCGCCTCCTTGCCGCGCTCCTTCATTCTCTCGTCGCGCTCTGCGTCCGCCCTGATCTCCTCCTGGGCGCAGAGCATGACCAAGATCAGTCAGCATCGCATCGGAAAATCGCATTGATTGGGAATGCACGTCGATTCCTCTCGTCGTGACGAAGTCACGGCAAAAAGTTCTTTGACTGTCCTGGGAACCTCACAAAGCCCCAGGACCGTCAGAAAGCGACTCGGGATTCAAAGCAAGCTGGCTCCAGGGAAAGGTCAAGACCTCCAAGGCCTTCACGCTGTGACAAGATCACGACGTCGGAGGTCTGGGTCTCGCTGGGCAGGATCAGTCACCATCGTCTCCGGAGACCGAGTCGAACCGAAAGGTGCGTCGGATCGGGCCGCATCGGCACAAAATCGGAATCGGATCGGGTCGGCTTCACACAGATGCACCACAGCGCCATGCAAGCATCTGGCCGCACCAGATCGTCGGAACATCTGAATCGAATCGGACAGAAATCGGAATCGGATCGGGTCGGCTTCGCACAGATGCACCACAGCGCCATGCAAGCATTTGGCCGCACCAGGTCGTCGGAACATCCGAATCGAATCGGACAGGGCCAGATCGATGTCGAATCAGATCGGTCGGACCAGTTTTGACCATGCTGCAAAGGGCCAAGGGCACTCCTCAGCCCTTCCGCTCCCCGCCCCTCCTTCTCGCTCACGGTGAGCTTCTGCCTCCCCAGACATCTGGCGCCTTGGAAACATCGAGGCGGCTGGCATGCCGCAATTTTCCGCCCCTTCAGGGGGGCCTGCGACGTCTCGTCGTCGCCTCGACGTCGTCGTCTCGTCATCGTCGTCGTCGTCGTCGTCGTCGTCGTCGTCGTCGTCGTCGTCATCGTCGTCGTGGTCGTGGTCGTGGTCGTGGTCGTCGTCGTCGTCGTCGTCGTCGTCGCAAACTCAAACCCGACTCGGGACGAAGCACCCGCCCCGGGGGAAAAGAACTGAGAGGCCCCGGGAGCCAGCGCGTCGAGCACGTCGAGGCGCTGGACGCCTGCCCTCGACCCCCGGAGCACCCGGAGAAGGCGGCTGCTCTCTGCGCTTCCGGCCAAACCGCGCGGAGCGGGTCTTGCCGTCTCCGGCGCGCCAACTATAAAACGACGCGAAGATCGGGACAAAATCGGATCGGGATAACTCGAAATCTCTGAGAATCGGCCGGTTTGGAGGATGTATTGGGCGCCGCGGCCGCTCCAGAGCTCGGGAGCGGCCAAGAGGGGGGTGTCCAAGAGGGGGGGGTGCAAATCATGACCGGCGGCATGTGCGCGGCCCAGCGGGGGGGCCAGGGACGTAATGAAATAAGAAGAGGCGCCATGAAATCTGGGGAAATATCATGGCCCCCGCCATGATATCCACCCCCCCCTAGTCATCACCCCCCTCTTTTCCGCCCCCGAAGAGCGTTCCGGAACGCTCTGAGAGCGCTCCGGAACGCTCTGGAGCGATTTATCCCGATCCTAGCCCTGTTTTAAACTACCCCCTGGAGGCCTCCGGGGAACAGGATCCTGGGCGGGGAAGCAGCTGCCGCACCTCTCCTCCCTGCTCCTGAAATCTCGCCCCTCCTCCTCCTCGCCCTGCGCTCTCCTCTCGCACTCTCTCGCTTTCTCCCTCTCTCTCTCTCTCTTCCACCGTCCCTTGCCCCCCGTCCCTCGTCCCCCGTCCTGCTCCTCCTCCACCTCCTCCGCCTTTTCCCTCCACTCAGCTCGTGTTCCTCCCGCTCCTCCAAGAAACGAAATGGATGGAAACGTCAGGCCCAGACCCATCCATCCACCAATGGTCGCCAATGCCATGGGGACGCCGTGATGTCATCCACCAGCCAAGCCATCCGACCATGGACGGACAATGGCGGGTGTGTGACTGGTACCATCTATCGTCGATAACCGAGCTATCGCTGGATGGAGGCTTGCTTACCACTGCCATATCGCGTCGGAACACGGTGGACCAGCACCTCCAGCGCGACGCGCGGAGCAGACAGCCCTGTGCGGATGTCGAGGAGCGGACCTCCCTCCTGGCAAGACCGTGCGATAGGACAGGGAAGGAGCCCCCCGAGCATGCCGGAGGCTGCCGGCGTCAGCGAGGGGGAACGCGAGGGGGGGGGGGGGGGGGGGGGGGGGGGGTGGAGGAGGAGGAGAGGAGGAGGAGGAGGAGGAGGAGGAGGAGGAGGAGGAGGAGGAGGGACGGGGGAGGGA